CCCTCCCCCTTCATTTGTCTCCTAAAAAAAACGTGTTACCCCCTAAATTCTTCAATCCCCCCCTCTCTGTCCCAGGCGATAACTAATCACTGCTCCCTAAAACGTCTTAACAATCGGTGTTTTCAAATTATTCCAGCTTTTTAGAAAAGTATCGTTTTAGGTGGCCGTTTTAGTGTGAACTGAAGGAAAATACGCATAAGAAAGTCGCGTTTTAAATGTATTCCAGATTAGGGTAGACGGGATATGAATTAAGTAGAATTTTTTAGCGGACATTAAAAAGTTAAAAGTAAAAAAAAAAACAAAGTTGTACCTCGCAATAATGTCAATACACGTCCTCAAAGATATAAAGCCATTTTAATATTTCAGTGCATCGTGGGACTGTTCTAGGGGATACATTTTCAATATGGCGTCTATTTCGTTCGACTGAAACTTCCCACAATGCACTGCAATGCAAACACGACCCAGTCTCTTACTCAACCTCAGTATGGCTAATTATCAACTCCAACGAATATTGTAGCCTCTGCAGAAAACTCTCCAAAACAAAACTTAGGAAAGAATTAAATTAGGCCTCTTGTGGAATGATCCATGAGTGAGGGGATTGGAGAAAAAAGAGGGATGGTTGCAACCCTCGCCTTTTCTCCTCTCCCTCTTTCTCCTCTCCAGACCTCTCCATTCGAAATCTCCGTTGCTCAGGCAAGAGTTGCCTGCAGAGGAGTTGATTCCGTGGATCCTTATTTTTTCCTTACAAAAATTAAGACCTTTTTCCTAGTTGTCGTTTCCAAGAAACACACTATCGTTGTCAAACGAAAGCCTTTTAGGTGAACCAAGTCCGCTAGTAGAGGGAAAATCCGAGTAATCAGTATCAGACGAGCCGTTGCTTTCTGTCCTTGAACGGTTGGAATTCCTATCTGGGACAGCTAAGTATCCAGGTGATGGAGGCAGTGATTCTTGGTCACTAAAGTAAGAAGACGCCAAGGAAAGATTTCGTAGCAAGTTCGGTCTTGCTCGCAGACGTGTCGTTGATGTCTCGGAGCATTCCGTAGCGCTCGATATTCGTTCGGCGTCGCTATTGTCCATGAAGATACACGGAGGGCATCTTTTGCCTTTTTCTAAGTCGTCTTCTAATGAGTAATCTCGTTTGACGATGGTAGGGATAGTTGCTACTTGGTTACCTTTCTGAGCGATATTTTCTGTGCAAAAGAAAAGAGAAAATACTCGGCATGAGCACAAAAAAGGAAAGAAAGAACTAAAGAGAGAGTGAGAGAAACAAATAAACAAACGAACGAACGAACGAATGAATAAAGACATGGTGAGAATCATGGGACTCTTGCAGCGGCCTGTATAAAAAAGGTTGTGCTTAAAGAGGTCTAACTGTATTTTCTAGGTACAAGGTCGCTTTTATTCGTTTTATGACAAAACCTACTGAATTAATTACCTGATCTTTGATCCATTACTTGCTTCATCCTCAACCTGAATCTAGCTGTAGCCAGGGCTGTCATACCAAGCTCACGGAAGTTCAATATCTTTCGATCTAATCCCAAACCATCTGAATTGTCAGCAGCATCTGAAGTGAAATATGAGAATAAAGTGAATCGCAGATAGGTTGTCGTGTGTCATAAGATGATTGATTTGAAAAGGCTAATGTTAGTTGCTTTGGTGGTACGTTACGACCGAAGGTCATCATTAAGAGAGTAAAGTGAATCACAGATATATAGGTTGCCGTGTGTCATAAGATGATTGATTTTAAAAGGCTAATGTTGGTTGCTTTGATGGTACGTTACGACCGAAGGTCATCAGTAAGGGAGTAACTTAAATGCTTCGCATTGAAATCTGTAATTTTATACGTAGTTTGTTGATGACCGTCGGTCGAAAACGCTTAATAAACTTAAATACCGTCAGTGCAACCAAAATTAGCCTTTTAAAATCGACCATCTTCTGGCACACGACAACCTATATATCTTTGATTCATTTTTTTCTCGTATTTTGCTTCATATGCTTAAGATCAGATATATAGGCATTGGGGAAAAACAACCTAGACCCCAATCAGAACCGAGCAACCATTAAACAAAGAAATAATACTCTAGAGAATGACACGTGTTTTCTCCCSTCTGTCATGCATTTTTCCCCTCCGCTCCCCTTCCTTTCCCTTCCCCTCTCTTCTCTCCTCGATCTGTAAGTTGGCCGTTCCCTGACTTAGATCAGCCCAGAAGTTGTTTCAGGTTTCAATCTGTGAGTTAGCCATGCCCTGACTTAGATCAGCCCAGAGGTTGTTTCAGGGTTCAATCTGTGAGTTAGCTGTGTGTGCCCTGACTTAGATCAGCCCAGAGGTTGTTTCAGGGTTTTATCTGCGAGTTAGCCGTTCCCTGAATTAGATCAGCCCAGAGGTTGTTTCAGGGGTCAATCTGTTAGTTAGCCGTGCCCTGACTTAGATCAGCCCAGAGGTTGTTTCAGGGTTTGATCTGCGCTTTGACCGTGCCCTGACTTAGATCAGCCCAGAGGTTGTTTAGGAAATCAATAAGATTTGAAGGTTTTTGGCCGTTCTAACAAGCTTACCAAAATCAAAATCTCCATTGCTTGTGACGCCACACACTATCAATGGATGACGAAGAATAAACCAATAAGCTCGTCTATAGTGCTTCCTTATTAGGGCATATGATAATGGGTTGAGAAGAAGGCTTATTGCCACTACATGTAACTGGTACAGCGAGATGGACTGAGCACTGATTGACGTTCCTCCAAATTGATGTAGTAATATAAGTATCTATAAAAAGAAAATAATAAAGCATAGTTAACAGGAATGGTTTGGAAACCTATTGTTCTAGGTTTTTGTTCGACCGTTATCTATTGTTATATGACGTTGACCGTGCACAGAGAAGGAAAAGTTGCTCCGTTTAATTTGTTCATAGTGTTAGGGTGTGTATGAATGTTTTTCTCCCTAGAAAACGTTCTAAAATAATTATTATTCGTTAATTAATCCTATATGTAAAAAAAGAAAGAAAATCCGTATTTTCAGCCATACTTCGGTTCATTGTGCGCGGTCAGTATCACGTAATTRTACGGTTCAACTTCAAACACGAAACAATAGGCCGATCCTTTGAAGTTTGCTGGGTTTCACAACCATTCCCCTCTATAGACTCCTTGCACTAAATCCCTACCTGGGGGTCAAACAACTGAACATATTAACATCATAAAAGATTTCAATCCTCAAGAGAAGRGAATTCTTTTATTTTGGCCACCAGATTGAGCTGCTCTACTAACTAGTATGAATAAAGCAGGTATCAGGATGGTTAGTAATGGATTTTGGAGTCTGGAATCCCAAAGCTGTGAATCTGTGAGAGAATATTCCCCTTCACAGTTCCCTGCGCCATCTTGAAAGGTAGCCGTGCCTTTGTATCGAAACGAGACAAACGCTGAGCTGGCAATGATAGAGACCTTTTTTTAATACCTTGGATAATAATTCACATGTCTCTATCATTGCAAGCTCAGCGTTCGTCTCGCTTCGATGCAAAGGCACGGCTACCTTTCAAGATGGCGCCGAGAACTGTGAAGGGGACTATTTCATAACATAAAGTAAATKAATCGAAAATATAGTTTCCATTGTTTTACGTCAGTCTAACACTCTTGGGCAGCTGTTGTTTCAGTTTTGAGTTCCTTTTATGTTGTGATAAAAATCATTTCCCTCCGAGGCGAGGGCAGACAATTACGTTCGTCATTTATATTTAGCTCAATTCAAAGTGATGCTTTATAATGAAGATTTATCTTTATGGAGTTTATTATATCGATAGAGCGTGGTTCTGCGGATAGTAGGAAAGGTGCGCATCTATATGCATGATTATAATTTATACCGAGGGATGGATGGTATATGAAGGCTATCTTCTCGTGTTTAAAAATATTTTACTCGTTCGCTGCGCCCACTCGAGAAATATTTTCACCACTCGAAGATAAACTTCATATCTTCGCGCCACCGTGTAATATCCTCTATACTAGACATACTTATCAGTAACGGGATCGAGACATATTGGTTGTTCTTATCGAAAAGGGAATCTGAATGTGCCAACGAAGTCATAAAGTTGAGAAATTGAAAGGGGGTGTTTTAAAAGTGAGGAAATGAAATGCATTCAAAGTTATTTAATCATCTAGTTTTTTTCTATAAAAGTACATACGTAACAGCCACACCATTGCAAGAAATAGCTTAATTCAAGTTATTAACCAATAAGAGATAGCTGTTCCATGCCTTAGAAACAGTGGGTTCCTTAAAAACGAGACTAACTTCGTTTGAAGATGCATTTACATAAAAACTGGTTTAACAGGTTTTTCAAAACCTGTACCAAAACAATGCACACTACCTTTTATGGAGTGTATTTTAAGAAAACCTGTTTAGAACAAAAGAAATGACGCACTTCCGTAACAAACTCAAAACACCTCTATGTTTGCCAACTTCGTTGGCAATAACGAAGGGCTGGTATGATCCTCGTATCTCTGAGGGGTAAAAGTCGTAAGGCACTCCATCTTTTAGGAGTGAAAAATTAAAATCTGTTGGTTTTCAGAAAGTCTCAAAAAATTGTTKTAAAGGATATATCTTGTTTTTCAAAGTGGTATCTATTAGCTTTTATCTTTTAACCAGAACCATTACCAATAGACCCCTTTCGAAT